TTTGATGTTTGTTTGGGAATTAACATTGGGTTCTTGGGGCTGGAAGGATGCTTTTGTATTGTGTAGGGTGTTTCAAAAGAGTGGGTCTGGGCCAAAGAACGGGGAACAGTATGGGGCACCCTTTATTGAAGAAGAGTGGGAGGCTGATGAGGCAGTTTTTGTGCCTGGCCAACATGGTGTGGCAGTGTACGAAGAGGTTGCCAATGATGGTGCTTTTGTTGAAGTGAATGATATTGACCAGGTATGATGTTTTGTGGTTGGCAACTTGACATTAGCTATATTTATGATGTTATATATATATATATATATATATATATATATGTTAATGATTTTATTGTATGACACCTTGCAACTTAAATTGAGAATGGTAGTAGCTAGTAACTAGTGAATTTAAATGATATAGGATAAGCTGGTAAGTATTCCTAGGGAAGCCACCTTGTTTCTAGTCATGCTCACTCCACTTGTTCTCTTGGGCTCTTGGCATGTCTTCAAAATTTTCTGATCTTCTGTTGAATGAGATGATTTTCAAGAAAAGAGCTGCTTAGTTTATGGTGGAATGAGGCACGTATGTTGTATTTGTGTGTATAGACTGCCTAAGGGTGTGGTTAATTTTTCTAGGCTTTCTTTGTGATCAATTTGCCATTAAGTGATGCTTGTGCTTGAAGTCATATTGTTGCTGTGGGTAAATCCCTCCAACCAAATTCACTCATCAGGCTTGGCATGCTTATGAAATCTGTGAGCCATGTCTTTCTAATTTGTTATGGATTTAGTGCATACAATGATAGCGTGTAGTATTGCAAGGTCAGACACTCATGCTATTGATGAATTGGCTTCATTGTTAGATGTATCCTTCTCTTTATTATTTATTACTAGTAGGCATATGTTGGTTGTAAGCCATTCTCTGGGTAATTATTTTGTCCCTTTTCTAATTAAAAGTATTATTTTCCCTTTACTCAGTAATTCTGCTATGCCTTGTCAGCCTTGATTTGTATGAATTTGAATGATCAAAATTTTGACAATTGTTGCTTCTTGCCAGAATCCTGATGTTGGCAATCTTTCTGAAAATGCTATCCGTCCATTGAACTTCTATCATGGGGAATCAAGCTACCATGTTGAATATTCAAGGGAGTTCAGTCAAGACAATCAAAAGCCACCTGACAATATGTCCGAGAATGCAATTCTCCCTTCCAACTTCTATTATGGGGAATCAAGCAACCATGCTGAACATGCAAGGGATTTCAGTGAAGATTATTTGAAGCCTACTGCCATGCATGCCACTGAAAGTGATTCAAAGGTGCATCATGAGCATATGGTCTCTAATTTACCTGAGCCAAATGAGATAGCTGCAAATGCAAAACCAGTTAAGGATGAATACTTGCTTGAAGCAAATGAAAACATCAATCCTGCCGACAACAACTATTTGCCTGAAGAGCCATACCAGGATGTTAATGATTATCTTCCAACCAATTATGAACCTTTCCTGGAAGCTAATGATCCTTCAAACCCCATTTACACAGAATCTGAACTTTTTGACCCTGATGAGTATCTTAAATTTGATGATGCTGTTGAGCTGCCTCCGGCTTTTGATTTTGATCAAATGGCGGGGAGTGATATCCCTATTTCTGGCCAAGAACCTCTTGCCCAAACGGTGCATAATTCTTTCCTGTCTTCATTATGTCTTAATAAATGCAAAAGTTTTTGCAGCTTCTAATTAACTTATTACATGATAACAGCATTCAAATGAAGGAACTGAACAAATGTGTAATGCAAGTGAACGTATGGAAGAACATGGCAACATTGATGCCTCCTCTTCAAAGCAAGAGCTGGAGGCCACAAAATTTGAACCTGGTAAGATGTTGGGAATAATTTAGCTCTTTATGCTTTTTTGCAAGTTGTAATCCAACATTTGTATTCATTTGGGCTCACTTTTGGTTCACTCTCTATGGTATAGGTACCAAGTATCCATTTATTAAAAAGGCCAGTCACATGTTGGGTAGCTTTCCTGCTCCTCCTGCATTTGCCTCTGAGTTCCCTTCGAAAGATGCAGCACTCAAGCTAAATTCTGCGACACATGCTTCCAGTTCTGTTCATGTAATGGCTGGCATGATAAGAATACCAAACATGACTTCATCTGGCAATCGGTTGGACTGGTCATACAGCAAAAATGGGAATGTCAACCTTGTTCTTTCATTTAGCTTACCACAAGGTGATATTAACTCTTCCAGCTTTCTGCCAATGGCTAGCCTACTCTCTGGCAAGACAGGGTCTGTTGTTTCAAGAGGGTGGTTCGTCATGATGTTATTTTTGGTCCTGATTATTTCTGTGAGTCTGAAGTTTGGGACCTGTATCTATACAAGGTAACAGATACTCAGTAGGGTTGGCTATGATTCAGCCAACAAATCAATTGATCACAAAATGGTGGATAATGTTTTAGTTACCCTTATAGGTTGACTAGGATGGCAGGCTAACGGTGGTGGTGGTTCATCATTTATTTTCTTGTTTTATGATGATTGCCAAAATGATAACCTATACCTTTATTATTTCATCATAGTCTACATCATACAGGGACAAAACTCTTGGTCTGTAAGCTATCGTGCAGCAATTTCTTGGTTGCTTCTTGTCTTAGATACCTTTTTTAAAACAATTGGTGGACCTTTTGGAATTCTATTTTCGAATTTGTTATGTTCAAGTAAATTTAAATCGGTAGTACTTTTTTCTATTCTGATGTGCCAGTTTTGTTGTTGTGAATCTCACCAAAATTGATGTCTTCTTTCAATTCCTCGTGCCATTTCTTAAGCTGAGAATTTGTTTACAACTTTATTGAAACGATTTGAAAATATAACAAAATAATAATAATAACCTTATGAGTTTTATAAAAGTAATAAATATATTTCTATGATTAACATTTTCATACAAATTATAACATAATAATTTTTATATTTTTTATATATTATTGATTTGAAATAAATAATTACATGTCCACGAATTTTGAGGTTAAAAATTTATCAACACGTTTATTTTCTTCGCCAATTTCAATTGGATGATGCTCCAAAAAGATAGGAGTAGGTGAGAACACATTTCTTGCCAAAAGACAGGAGTCTTAAGTCTTGAATGCGTAAGCAAACATTTTTGGAAATACTGTTCATAATTAAGTATATAGGAAGACTGAAATAGAATTTGCTGATGACCAGTCAAAAATTTTTGTATCTATTTTTTTTTCTCCAAAGTTTCTAAAAAAAGATTGACGAGGCTTTTCAAAAGTTTATAGCCTTATATTAAAGAACGGCTCAAAACCTCGATAAATGCATCTCGAGATAACAGTTAATCCCCAGTTAGATTTTGCGTTCGCGAAATCGTATCATTTATTGTGTAACACAATTTCATGATATAAATAATTTTGATACAAATATTTAAATGATATAAATAATTTAAATATGAACATGAAATATTTATTTACACGCGATATGATTAAAATATTTAAAATTAATTTACATTTAAATAATATGATACGATTAATATGATTATATACGAATAATATGATTAAATACGATTAATTTATTTATTTAAACAAAAAATATCATTTAAATTAGTATTTAAACAAAAAAATTTAAAAATTAAATTTTTATAGTCTATTTAAATACCAAAATAATAAAATAAATAAATTATTAATTTATTTTTTAAATAAATTAAAATAAATTTTTAAAATTTTTTTATGCTATAAACAATATCATATTATTATTATTTGACACGAATATAACATGAATAATATCATGTCTTAATTATCTTAACACAATTAAGATAAAAAACTCGATTACACTAAACACATACATGATTTTTTTTATATCATTTTCATGTTATATTATCGTATCATATTTAAAATTATCAAATCTTACGTAATGATAATTTAAAAAATATTTTTTCTCAACTTTATTCTCGTATTATGAGTTTTCGGATAAAATTTAGCTGAAGTTCCATACTTGAAGTTTTTTATTAAAAGGGAAAAATTAAAAAATAAAAATAAAAATTGATAGATTGAAAATTTTAATCAAATAGATCATGCGTGAAAATTTTGAAAAAAAAATTAATAAATTTTGATATATTTATTAAATAAATATTTTTAATAAAAAAATTTTTTTTCATTGAATAAATATTAATCAATTTTAAATTATAAATAATTTTTTTAATAATTTTTTATATATTATTAATTTTCACATTTAACTCTATCAATTTATCCATTCAGATGTTTAATTAAAATTTTTATTAAATCATTTTAAAAAATTTTACAAAGTTCACGTAAATAATTTAATGTAAATTTTGCCCTAGTAAATCACAAATTTCAGTGCGTTGTAAATTCATGAAATTAACCATTAACTGCCGCATTTACCATAAAATGTTACTATAATTAGTAACTTAACTAATCTTAACGAGTGCTTTTAAACCTTAACAAGTGCCTCAAAAGCTCTGGTTAGCAAAATCATTATCGTATTACATTTGATCGATGAAATAAGAGTCTTGTTTCGCAGTTTTCTATAATTTTGGAGAATTATTGGGAGTAGTTTGCCACCTTTTTTTAACAATTGATTGAATCCTTTGTTTTCCAATTTTGCAGATTTAGGAATTTAGAAATGGAAACGTTTTCCACAACTCCCTAAATGAGAGAAATCCATTTTGGTGGAAAGTATCTGAGCTTTAAACATAGTTTAGCTCAATCACAATGAGACTTAATAGCTTGATAGTTGCATGTGGACGTGCAATAGTGTCATGCTTTGAATGATAAAATGCTTTCCATTTCTGGAATTGCAGCTCAAAGAAGCATGTTTTCAGCATTGGACTATAAAACCTTACAATTGAACATTAATTTAAGATACCGGTTTGCCTGTGCTGAAAAATCTGATAAAAAACATTCAAGAAATAATGTCATGCTTGTCAAAGTACATGATACCATGTTGGAGTAAGAAACAGGATGATTCAGACTATCTGGTGTAATGACCATGATGAAATAAGGCAAAAGGAGCCTTCTTACTGGCAATCGACGACACAAGATCAAAGGTACACGCTGGAGACCAGGTTTTATTTTTTAATCCCCATCTAACAAATGGGTAAACATTGGTGTTTTTTTTTGTTATTACTGGTTTACTAGCTAGAATGCTACTCATACAATAAACAATTTAGTATACATGTGATTTTCATTTTCTTCTTTCTTTTTGTCCAACAGCTGATTTGTGGTAAATGGACAAAAAAATGGAAGAAAAAACTCTTACCTGATTTACATTTCTCCAGGAAGCATTGTATCCTCAGTTAGATCACAGAAAGCAACACCCTGGAAAAAGAAGAAAACAGAATTAAATCATTGACATATGCTCCATTCAGCAATGGAGTGAACCATGTTGACCCTTGTTATTTGAAATTTACCTCCCCTGTGAGGTGAGCCACACATCTCTTCTCAGCCAGCAACTCTGCTTCTGTCTGCAAATTAGTTGGTGTAAAAATGTATTAAAATGAGTGTGGGAGTGCAGAGAAGTAGTGTCCTTGTTTTGTAATGTGAAAGCCAAAATTTCCATTTTCACTTTTAGGTCTACAAAATTCTTAATGTACCTTTCTAATTCGCTTGAGCAGATAGTCATCAAAGATCACTTCTTTGACAAGTTCATAATCACCATCTCCCTACAGAATGTAATTCAAAACGATACTTTAAAAGTTGCCTTAAATCTGAAAAGAGTGAACAAAAGGATTTCAAGAAAAGATACAGAAAAAATCTTTGAATTCATACTTTTGATCTGCATGGTATGCTGAAAACGATATCCTCTGCTATACCATATGGATTTCCATTGGTATAAACCTGCATTTGCATTCTAAAAAGTGAGAATGGCAATCAATTGGAACAGCTAAATTACACTTCTTCAACAAGGCAAATAGTGTAGAGAAGCTCAGATTTAGAGAATAATGGCTTGGATCAAAATTTTCTTACTGCACTTGGATGCATATGCAAAATTTTCTCCCTCATGATAGCGATTAGACTTAAAATAGCAAAGGATTAAAGGTAATGGGTCTCAAATGTTCAATTACTTCCAAAGGATTTTCTATCTTTATGGAAGGTTGGCCATAAAAATTCTTTCCCTGTGAAGGTAAAGATGGAATTAATAAAGGCAAAATATGCATGCAATCATATGATTTATATGGGCATGAACTTACTCCAGAAGAAAACCAATCACCCTCAGGTGTGGGAGTTATTAAAGACTTGATGGCATCAACTATTGACACAGCAGTAGATGCAGCTGAAGATCTTCCCCATTTCTGAATTAAAACTCCACCTCTCTGCAAATCAAATTTACATGTTATGTAATAAAACTTTAAGGCCCAAGTAGTTCATGAAAGTTTATTCAGTATGCTATTTCAGAGATTTACAAATAATGGGTCTACATATCTTACCTTTTGGACCTTTTCAGTGAACTCCTCTTCTAACCATTTGTGATCCTTGATGACCTCTTTGACAGGTAAGCCTTTGATTCTAGCATTTAGGAAGTCTGGAACCTAGTTGAAATCGCATACAGAATACCTTATGACACAGTCTTCAGAACCTAATCTATGCATTTTCTAAAACAGTGTTTATTACCTGAGTTGTCGAGTGATTTCCCCATATTGTCATATTTGACACTTGATCATAGAAGACACCTGCTTTTAGAGCAAGCTGCAGAAACCATTGCTTTAATGTCAAACTGTATTTTATTTTTATATTTGCAGGTGAAAACTAATAACAATCTATTACTTTGGAACTGGTATTACTCAAGTAATACATGTACCTGGCATTTTGCTCTATTTTCATCCAACCTAGTCAGAGCATGAAAATTCTTTGCAGGTATATTTGGAGCATTTTTCATACAAATTAAGGCACTGCATCAGAAAGAATAAAATAATAATATAGAGGCATTAAAGGAGCCTAAACTACTAAGGAATCAAGCAAAGTGAACAACAAAGAGATATATCATTTTGACAATGAAAGCACCAGCAGCTATAATCGAGAAGATCCTTACTTAGTGTTGCAGGGGTTGCCCACTACTATCACCTTGACATTATGAGATGCAACAGCATTAAGAGCTTTTCCCTAAAATATTTAGAAGCAAGGTGATGATGGCTGCTTGATTTTAACACGTCATAACTAAAAAAAAAAAGAATAAATAAAAAGAGGAACCCAAATATGAAAGCACCTGCTCAGCGAATATCTGCCCATTGATGTCTAACAAGCCAGCTCGTTCCATTCCAGGCCCTCGTGGCTTTGCTCCAATTAGAAGAGCCCATTCAGCATCTTGGAACACCTCGTATGGATTTATTCCAATACTAACCTCCCTCAATAGAGGAAACAAGGAATCTTCAAGTTCCATTGCCACTCCTGCATGCATTAGGACATCAATTTGAAAAGGGTTGCAGCATTTACAGAAAAAGAGCCTTTATTTATCTTCCTTGCATCAAAAGAGTTGCAGGAGGACCATTTTCTCCGAATTAAAAGTTACTTCACATTTTGAGTTTTCACAATAAATGTTCCAACAATAGCTTGGATGCACTTAGAGCTTATTGCCCTCGATACACATGCTGGTCATTCAAACTGTACCCATTTTTCTCCAAAAAAATCAGTTCTCTTCCTTTTGAAATGACATCTACTTTGCTGAATATCTGTTATAAGAATATGTCAAGAGCCATACCTTCAAGAGCCTGTATTGACCTTTCAGATCCCAATAGTTTCAGAGCAATAGGCTGATTTGGTCCAAACACCTCACCAGATGCAAGCTGGAAGAGCAAAACAACTTAGCAATTAAGTCATGATAAATAGAAATCGCATGAATTATTATGAACTGCTAGTTTCTCCCATGAAAATATGCCCGGGACATGAGTGCGGTGTTTTAGTTTTCAGCTGTAAAGAAAGGATAGTTTCACTGTAAAAGAGACCTTTTAAGCAAGATGCTGTCAAGCATCAACCTCAATATTTATTATTGGAGCATCTTTTGGACATGGTGGAGGTATATCTCCTTTATTTCTACAGCATTTAAATGAAAAAGGGAAGCAATGAAATTAAGGCTGGAAATTCTAAGGAATAGGAGACTATCATTATAACTACTATTGATTAATGCTAAAAAATGGTAATTATAATATCATTTGCTATTAAGATTCCATTATCTGCATTTGCTATATTCTAAAGGACATTCCAATCCAAACATTCAGTTGGATTGAACCTAGGCCGCATTTAGTAAGTTTACCTTTTCATCACATGATACTCAATTTTACTGATGCACACAATCTTTCCTTGATAACAACATTTATTTAGTAGTATAGTCAGTGTAATAGAAGGGCATTTAGCATAACTGGTTAAACTGCAACTATAGATGATGGTGAATTCCCAGAGGAAATGATACAAACATATAAATAGAAGCTTCAATGGACATAAAAATGGAATTTTAACTTCTTCCGAAGTTACTTACTTTGAAAAGAAGATGGTTAGAGATCATCCCAGCAGCTCCAGAAACAGATATATTTATTAATTTCTTCCATGATTTTGTCTCCTCTTCCTGTTAACAATTAAAACAATATAACACAATGAAAGTTGACCAAATTGCAGGCAATAAAAAAAAATCAGGTGAGCAAATTGAGGGCTTTAAAAGGAAAAAAAGTTAAGTCACCTGAGTGAAATGGTTCAACCACTAATCTCTTTCATTACAACCGGTTATAAGAATCCAGTTCCAACAATATTGAGGGTGATTTTTATTTCATTTGCTTAACTAAAATGTTGCTATAAAGCAAAATCATAGTTCATAATCAATTAAAAACAAATAAATGATTACAATTCAACATGTAAAGAATTCTTCTCTTTAAAAGAAAATTGTGCAATATATTTTTAAATTTATTTCTCCTTTTTTTTTTTTTTGGTTTTTCTCATTTGCACTTTTTCTTACAAAACCAAAAAATACCTAAAATAAATGCACACCAAAAAAACAACATAATACTACAACCATTTCCATGAAACTAAGAAAAAAAAAACTACTTAAACTAATGAATTAACTTAATTTGACTAGTGAAAGAACTGAGATTGCTTTCAAAAGACATTACTTATTAAATAAATTTTAAAAGAAAACAGAGAAACAAGAAACATACAGCTTGGAGATCATAAGTGAGGCAAAATACACCATAACACTCAGTCTTCCCTTTGGGATTCTCAGCTTGTACAGGGATCGGGGTTTGAACTTGACTAAGAAACAAAAAACAAGAAACACCCATTAAATTATAAAGTAAAAAAAAAACCATAAAAAGTTCAACTTTAATTTTTAGAAAAAAAAAAAAAGGCTTACTCTGATGCAACAGAGCATGAGATTGTAGCATTCCGGGATCTGGGTATGGATCGAAATGAACGGCGAAAATGATCGGAGAAACGGGGAGATGTTGATGAAAGAGAAGGCTGTGAAGAGTGAAAAGGGGTTGTCGTTTTGGTATAGGAAGCTGATAACTCTGCCAACGCCATTTGTAGCAGAGTCTTTGTTTAGTATAATTCGAAAGAAACTAAGCAGAAACCAAAGGAAAAGAGAAAGAATAAGTTCCTTCTTTGGCAGTAAAAAGCAGAGGGTTTTAGAGAGGAAAAATCGAAAATACAGGAAGTGAGTGGGTAACGAAGGGACACAAGTAGATGATTTGAAATACAAGTATAAGGCCATGCAAATGACACTTGTCACCAAATGTCATCCAGAAATCAAAAGTCCTGTGATTTCTTTCCTTCTTTTAAGTTCTATTTTTGATGATTGAATTTTGGTTTCGGTTTTTTTTTTTTCTCTTGAAAGTTCTTTGAGGAGTGGATTTTGATTTCGGTGGGCTGGACTTTGAACAGTAAGATACTAGGGTCGTGGTATGAAAAATATTTTGTTTATACAATAATGTTTGATTAATTTATATATTTATATTGTGTATGATTTATATTAAATATGTGTAAAATATAAAAATTATTATATTATAATTTTTGTTCATACGTTAAATATGAATTTTTTTTTTATTAAAAAATATAAATTTTATTAAAATTTTAAATTATATTATTTTTATATTATATAATTGTATCAAATTCAAAATTACATAATATTTTATTGTGACCAAAGATATACAATGGATTTGGGTTCATAGACATTAGTATTAGTGAGTAATAGTGCAATGATCAAATTTCGGATGATCTTTTGACTTTGCAAGTAATTTATAATTTAATTTTTTCAAGATGGACATTTTTAAAATGGATAGTCGTTAATGACTCTTAAGTGTTAAATCAATACATTCCAAATTAAAAGATGTAAATGTACGATCAAATTTTGGGATAACCAAAGCCATATTAATTTAATCGCTTTGGTAATTTAACTATGTTTTATTATTAAGATGGATTTATTTGAGATTAAATATTCATTTTTGCATGCTTTTAAAAATTCAGGCCCTTGAAATGTAAAAGATTGGGTAAGACTTGGCATGTTTTCGAGCAACAACCAATGTGCTAGCCCTTAAGGACACAAAAGGCTAGTTAGTCAAATTAAGCCCAAAGGTGAGAAAAGGCTAATTACTCTACTAAAGAATGTCATGCTTTAACTTATATAATAAATATATATATATATTATATATAAACATGCCAAAGCCTAAGGAAAAAAATTATAAGTATTAGAGATTAAATATAAATTTTATAATGTATTTTTTAAAAGAAGTGATGAATTATCTGAATTAAATCGTGCTTTGACTTTATTAAATCATAATACTTTTATATATTAAAAAAAAATGCTCGTTCTACATGGCGGAAATTATAATTGTTAAAAATATAAATTTTTTCCAGTAAATCTTAACAAATTTTTTTATCCATTTGTGATATTTATTTTTTTTAAATGCTTAATAAATGTGTATTTTTTAAAATTTATTTTATAATTAAAAGATGCAAGAATTCGAATATTTTACTATTAGATTACTTGACTATAACTGAGGTCAGAATTTTTTTTTTATTTTGAAAGAGAATAAATAATTTCTTTATGTTGTTACTATTTTTCATTGATTTTTTAATATATTTAATGATCATTTTGAAAAGTAATTAAATATTTTTTATTAATTAATATCATGATCATATCTATAACAATATATCTCTATCAATAGATAATAGCAGTCCCCAATTGTTTATGGGTGGACACCTCAGCCATGTAAATTAAGTTGATAGGGGGTTACATTTGGGAAAACGTTGGTTTTTTTACAGTTTGCATGAAATTTGGGTAGATCAAACACTGATGGTTCTACATTTTTTCAGGCAAGCAATAGAAAAAAAAAGAAAAGAAAACAAAGAGAAAGGAGCAGGGAAGAATAGAGAAAAGGATAGGGAGCGATTGAAGAGGAGGTAAAGCAAAAAAGGCTGTCAATGAACCAATCTTTCCACCACTATCGCCTCTAGATCTTCCTAAAATCTTAATCACCTCCTCCTCATCCTTCTTTAACTTCTCTTTTTTTTTTTTGGTCTTTTATTTTCCTATTTTGAAACTTTTCCCATTTTTCACTTTTGCCTTCGTTTTTTTTTTATATATTTTTAAGGTTTTTTTGGCCATTATTTGATTTGCTCTATCAAAGTTATTTTTTTTTGGATATTCTTCTAACGTTAGAAATTTTGTTATTGAACTATTCAATTTTCAATCGAAATTGCTCTTATTTTTTTCCATTAAAAAATTAAGGTTTTTCTTTCGGTGGTGAATAGATATATATATATATATATATATAATATAGAGAGAGATGGTTAGTTGTAAGGGATTGAGTGGTTCGTTGTCGTATGTAATCGTGCTAGTGACGCATGATAGTATAACTAGAGATTTAAATTGCGATAACGGTTACATTTTTTATTGCGTCGCATTTATTATGGTTGTGACTATAACGAAAATATTCACGGTTATTGCAACTATCGCGATCATAATTTTTTTTTTAATTTTGCTCAACTCGTTATAAAATATAATAATTTTAATTATTAATCATAAAACTCTTATTTTATGATCTTTAAAGTAATTTATATCATGTCATGTGTTTTATTTATTTAAGAAAAAATATTTATAATAAAATATTCATATTTAAAAAATTACTTATACAATAATTAAAAATAACAAGAGATAAATAAACATATGAAAAATAAATAATCATAACGAATGATATATTTAATTATTTAATTACCATACTCATTAAATTATTGTCAAACTATATTGTGCATAAATCAACTAATAAGTGATTAAACATCATAAATTAAGCAAAAACATTACTATTTACGGGCCAAAAGAATTACTTTTTATGGGCCTATAGTAAATCAAACTTAGTAGCCTCTCTACTAAGGGCAATCTTCAACAACAATAGCTTAAGTCTATTTCCTCTGCCTCTGGACTAAATTGCAAAGATCCACACAACTTCTCATCCCCTTACCTTGTATTCAATAAATTTTCTCCAGACCTTCATCCTCATCCTCATCTCTCAACTCTCTTTTTTTCTAGTGTGTGCTATCTACTCGTCTCCTTAAACCTCAAGTCTCACTCTCATCTATTGTCTCTCATTCTAAGTCCTAGCAACTCCCTAACAATGCATCATAGCCTAGTCCAATCTCAAACACACAAAATCATAGCAAATTTTGAAATTAAAAAAAAAAAGATAATTTGAGTGCTGAATTAATTGCTTACCTTAAACGACATGTGCTTGATCTTGATTGAATTTGAAATTGAAAAAATTGATATCTTTGAAAGTTTAAGTTTTGTGAGTTTTTTTTTTTTTTTTGAATTTGTGAATTGATATTTATTCTATGGCTTGCTGTTTTTATTTTAAGTTTTTAATAAGAGTCAAATAAAAAAATTTTCTTGAATTTTTGAATGAAAAATGGAGTAACGGGCAATAGCGGACTGCAATTGCCGCTATTCAACGTTACACTCTAATTTGTGGCCACGATATGCCTCTATCAATGAGATTCAAATTCTTCTCCATTTTTTCTTCAATAGTAACGACAAACGTTACCTTGAAATAGCGGCCGCTATTTGAATCCTAGAGTGTAACAAAGTCAAAATGGATGGCAGATCGTGATTTGGAAAAGGTATATATTTGGAAATATTATATTTTTTTGTTTTTGGTATTGTTGATTTATTTATTTTTTGAAAATTGTTAACAGATTTTGGTAGAAGTTGGCCTTTATGAAAGGAAAGAGGAAGCTGCAAAAGGAGAAGAAATTCTATGATGAATTCAAGAGGTAATTACATGTGTTTTTTTTTTTTTTGAGAAAAATTCATGTTTTATGAAATTTTCAAACCTGTATGTATGATTTGAAATTCCATTCTATGAAAGTTTCTCTGAGTTTTTAGCATGTTATTCTATGATTTGTTATCTAACCATTCTTTACTGGAATTTAGAATCCCAAAAGTATGTATGTTCAGTTGAGAAATTTGTGTAACCTGGCTTTCTTTTTTTTTTTTTTTTTGGTGAGAATGGATATTGGATATTAAGAATCTATTTAGAGTCATATTTTATTCCACACCTCTTTATTCCCTTGAGAATTGTAAACGTAAACTACCTTAATTAATGATTTGAAGGACAGTTCATGATTATATATATATAAAAAAATTTGTAAGACATGAAACTGAAAGTATGCTATTAGTAATATTGTGACCTTGCGGTTCCATTCATAATGAAAGAACACCAAACTGGTAAATTCTATTTACATTAGTTAATCTTTTATATTGAGATGTAAATATCAAATTTATTCATTGAAAATGTCAAAATATTAAATGAGGTCTTGCTTTAAAAATTTGAAATCATTGTGGAACACATGTATGACTTCAATCATCACATGACCACTATGTTACCTTAATTAAGTTTTAACCACTGATGATCAATGAATCTTTTTTTGGTATCAATGTATTAGCTGTTCAATCTTCCATTCTAGGTAAGCATGCCACGGAAGCAACGCCCTCTTGTCTTTCCTTCTTAGAAAGTAGGTAGTCTTTCCTTCTTAGAAAGTAGGTAACTTTTTTCCTCTTTTCAGTTCTTGCTGCTGGTATTTCATGATAGCTTTAATCTTAGCTCATCTTCCAAAATTATCCTTCAAATTATATCTACTACCAAAGCTAGTTTAGTTTTAAATTGGAAGGTAGGGAAGATTTTAGATTAAATACTCTGATTTATATATCAATATTATATTCGCATACCTAAACCTTCTTTATTTGGCTCCTCCCTCTGGCTGTACTAGCTAATGGGAGAGAGAAAGAGGGATAGACAATATCCATGTATCATGCTTTTATTGCAGAGAAAATGACTGATTTTTTATAAACGTTGACATCTGTGGGAGATTTTTTTTATTGCAAAGAGAAGACTGTGAAAGGCGCAAAGCGCAAGAGAAAGGGGAAGATAGGAAATGAGGAGAACAGGTAATGTTCATGGGTCATAGGGTGTTTACAGTGTATGTAAAACTTGAAAACTATGTTATGTTTTTTAGTAGTAACTTAATTTTTGGAGGGCCATTGATTTGTTTTTGCTTTTTCTAATAGCTTCTTAAAACGTTCTTGAAAGAAAAAAAAAAAAAAAGAGTAAATGATAGAAATCAAAGTTATGAATTATAATTGACTGAAAAAATGAATGAATGCCTAGAATGTAATATAATTCTGGCATAATTATTCTACATAAAAGCAAAATCATGTGTATTTTACTCCAAAAAGATTAAGCTAT